ACGAGTGAACTGTACTAATGCTTTAAGTACACATTGGAACTAAATGTGAACTCTTAAATGGAGTAAAATGTTACTTGGGTTATTTATATTATGTTATGGAAGTGCAGGAAAGTTCTTGAGTGACGACCACTAGCCGGAAGACGTAGCGTGGGCAGGCCTCCCTCTAGGTGGACCGACGATCTGGTGAAGGTCGCGGGAGGTGCCTGGATGCGAGCGGCATAGAAATCCTTGGGGGAGGCCTTTGTCCAGCAGTGGACGTCTTTCGGCTGAAACGAACGATGGAAGTGCAATGGCTTTCTTTATAGTTCATTCATTCATTTCTACCAAAGGACGCACACTGCTGGACTTACTCAAAGATTTGCAAAACGATATCGGTCCTGCACCGCTGTCATTTAGGTGCTTCCCGAGACCTTCATTAGATATTCCGGTTCGTGGTTGCTACTCGAGAACTTTTCTGTCCCAACACCCATTATTTGGCCACGCCCATTATTGGGCCACGCCCACTGCCACTTATGTTGAAGAATTCTGAGAGCTATGTTGTCGGTTACTTTAGTTTTCCTACGGAACTCCTCATATCTGGTTCGTCATCAATGCAAAGATAATATTAATATTTACTATCTACGATAAGAAGTGCAATGCCTTTTCTTTATATCTAAATTGTTATTACTCGTCTACAGGACTCGCAAAACGGACTAAGTTTAGGCAGCGCGGGAGGACAATCGATGTATGGAGACGAGGAGGAATTACAGAAACAAATGGCTGGCATGGCGTTAGGTAAGTCTCTTGGTAGAATACACAAGGGAAAATAACACTTTGTTTTTTACCTGTTTGTTTGCCTGTCAGGAAGGACTGACTGTGGACCATTAAATCTGCTATAGTCCCTTGGAGCTGTAAAATAAAGCTTTTGTAATGTCAGACAACAATAACCAGCTGGATATTCAGCACACAGTCGTAATTCCAAACAGTTAGCATGATTGCTTTATTTGCCTCTAGTGAATAAGAGAGGTCCGTGCCACGTCCGTGCTCATGCAGTACACAAAGACCATATGATGATGAATATAGGATGAATGCACCATTTTCTATAGCGATGATCTGATGACCTCTAGCAATGATTTGTGTAGGCCAAATTCTTTATTTGCCTCTGGTAAATTAGAGGGTTGTGCATGAGTACGAGCTGCTGCTTGTTGCTACTGCTGTGATGCTGCATGAGCAGCAGATACCAAAAGACCTTATGATGATGTGTTTAAATCAAATCCTCTCATTGCCTCTGTTAAATTCGGGTCGTTTTCAAGCAATAGAGGCTAAATGACTTGATAACGATTTATCTTCCAGTGCACGGCATCAAATCCTCCATTTGCCTCTGTTAAATTCCGGTCGTTTTCAAGCAATAGAGACTAAATAACATGATAATGATGAATCTTCCAGTGCACGGCGGCGTGGGCGGTCGCGAGGACGGCGGCGGGTTACAATGGCGCGACCCCAACCTGCCCGAGGTCATCGGCTTCCTCAACTCGCCGTCCGACGTCGTGAAGGCCAACGCGGCCGCCTACCTGCAGCACCTCACCTACATGGACGACCCCAACAAGCAGAAGACCAGGAGCCTAGGTGCATCTAATGTTCAGTGACAGCAGGATTTGAACTCTTGTTCCTTGGATCTCAATTCGGTCATTTCGACACCGAAACCGTTGGGCTATTGTCGTTTTGCATAAAATATTTTTATTTTCTTAATGTAATTAACAGCCGTGTTCACAAACATTACTTGAGGTCTCACAGTGCGCGTGGACGCACAGGGTCCTAAAAACCTATTCATAGACAATACTCGAATGGCAGAGTGACACACATGAACCAATTACAGAGTTCTATTCAACGTTCGACTGTGCGTACTGTGTAAACAGTTTGATTAAAACGCCTATGCCGGTCTCGACAATCAATGAGCCTTTAAAAGTTACGCTCACACGGTCGGGCAAGGTCTTGAATAGGTTAAATGTGAAATAATCAAAAGAATTCGGAATTCCAACTGAAAAAGAATGAACGAATGACTATAATCTTGTGTTTGTATCCACAGGCGGCATCCCACCACTAGTGCGGCTGGTCTCCCACGAGAACCCAGAAGTGTGCCGCAACGCGTGCGGAGCGCTCCGCAACCTGTCCTACGGCCGCCAGAACGACGAGAACAAGCGCGCCATCCGCGACGCAGGAGGCATTCCTGCGCTCATGGCGTTGCTGTGCCGCGCCACCGACATGGAGGTACATCATCATCATCATCAACAGCCCCTTAGGCCTCAGCCTCGAACTTAGCGGGCAGCGGCGCGGGAGCGGCGGCGGAGCGGGCAACGAGCGGGCAGCGGCGAGGGAGCGGGCAACGAGCGGGCAGCGCACTCCTTCTTTTGCCCACAATAAATCGAGCGTTAGGAATAAATTTGAATCGAAATAAAATTGTCGCCGTTATTCAGACATTTCGTTCGCGAATAAAAACAAATATCTCGACAACACAACCCCGAACACAACACTTCGCCGCTAAAGCGCCGCGCGAGCTGCCCGCTTGTTTCAACAACGGGTGTGCGTTGCCCGCCCCGCTCCCGCGCCGCCGCCGCTCCCGCCCCGCTGCCCGCTAAACTCGAGGCTGAGGCCTAATCCCCACGCTTGCCAGGCGGGTTGGAGATCGCAATTTGAAAGATTCATGTCTTTCAGAGAGCGCTGCTGCCCGTTCTCTGTTTGATGTGTAGTCCCTAAGTCGCCTCTTACGCCACCCGTGGGAAGAGTAGGGGTTGGTGACAAATGTTTTCTACTCTGCCGTCAACACAGCGCCTTGGAGGTACAGTGCTGGCAATAGTGTACCCGCAGCGTCCCCGAGGAGCCCGAGTGTCCGCGACCTGTCCCCTGCCTGCCAGATGACAACAAGCGCGCCATCCGTGTGGCGACTATATCCACCTCTTGTTCCCACCGCTGCAACACCTGTGTAGCCAGGATCTACAGCTTGACCGCCGATAAAAACCCAACCAGGGACGGTCCCATGAAGGTCCCAGGTGAATGAAGTGTGGTGACAGTGTCCACCCAACATCTCCCCGGTCGGAGCCCGAGTCTTCGCGCTCTGACGACGACGACAACATGCGTGCCATATCGATCAATTAATCGATAGAATCTAGTCATCTAACTGGCTACTTTTATCGGATTTAATAAGCAGTAACCATCTGACCATAAACATATTTAGGTTTATCTGTTTCGCTATCGTCAAATGGTGTGGTGAAAAATGTATTCAGCTCTTATTACTTTCTGTTACACTCATTCTTATGTAACGAAACCAAATGGATTTTGTGAAGTTGGGGCTTTGAGATTTAGAAGCTTGGCTCTACATGATATCTGACAACTTTGACAGTGCAAGCCTTATCTCAAGTGGTCTGATCTTGGCGACATTTGACGTGAAATGTTTTTGAGGAGATCGATTTTACAACCTCAAACAATGTTACAAATTATTATGTTTATGTTAATTACGATATTATTCTCTCCACCAAGGTGAAAGAGCTCGTCACCGGGGTCATCTGGAACATGTCTTCGTGCGAGGACCTCAAGCAGTCGATCATTGACGACGCGGCGCAGGTCATCGTCAACAAGGTCATCATCCCGCACTCCGGCTGGCATCCTACCAACCCTGGAGACACTTACTGGTCTAACGGTGGGTTTGATTATACATTTTGGAGTTTCGACGTTGTATAAGCCTTGCTACTACCAGGCCTGTTTATCTCCGCGAGTTTACATCGAAAACAAAACACGCACGATGGCCCACTTACAGGATACTATTCGACAAGGCCTCACATACGAGCGAACATTGACTCACGCACGCGTATTCTTGTGTATGATGGAAGAAAATAAAGAAAATGGTATACTAAACACTGTGCAGTATTTAACTGCCTAAATAATAATAAAAACACAGAATGTACTTTTTTAAGACACTGAGAGGTAAATAAGTAGTTAATATTATTCATGATAATTCATGCTAAATCATGTATTTCCTCCGCCATTTTCCGCAGTTTGGTACCTCACGTCACATCATTTTACCGAAGTCAGCCCTATAGCTTCGGCGCAGTGCCGATCACTGACGTTTGTCAACAAAATGGTGCTTGACTCTTGAGACAGGCTAAATTACACCATATTTTTAATGACATTGAGCATATATTTTTCGCGAAGTAAAACTTCTGTACGTAGTACTTATTATTATTCTGTGCTACTACATCGAAACTAAAATGAAAAATATATCATCAATAATCCAGAATTAAATTATACATCTAGCATTGACAAGATCAGTATGACTGAGAGCTTATTTTAGCAGGCTCTTATGCATGCTATGGCAATATTTTTACCAAAAGGAAAAATTGCTGACATTAAAAAATAGTAGTGTCAGACAGAAGCTTTCGAGAACACGTTACTCCGAAACCCGTAGACCGCTTGCTTCACATAACTACGCTTAGCTAGGAGGGGTTATACAATGTGTACAAACTTCGAAAGTGAACTGTTAACATGTTTGCCTTTTATTTTTGGTAGTTGTTAGTTTTAATGTGTAAGAGAACGCTTAGGCTGGGTTGCACCATCTTATTTTAACTATAACAAACGTCAAAAATCTGTCAAGACTCCATATAAAAACGCCGGTTATCGTTATAGTTACGGTTTTTAGGTGATGCAACTCAGTCTTAAAACTTTGTACTAACAGTGTTGTTATAATTTAAAAAACCTTCGATAATTACCTTATCTTACAGTTTTCCGCAACGCATCGGGCGTTCTCCGCAACGCGTCTTCCGCGGGTGAATACGCGCGGCGGCGCCTGCGCTGCCTTAACGCGTTACCCGACGCTCTACTGCATACCGTGAGAGTGGCCGTGCGCGTCAACGGCATCGGCACCAAGATCGTCGAGAACTGCGTCTGTGTGCTGCGCAACTTGTCCTACAGGTACACTCTTATTACCACCTGCCTAAGGTTGAATATCGCGTAGCAAGACAGCGCTGCCTCAACGCGTTACCCGACGCGCTGCTGCATACCGTGAGAGTGGCCGTGCGCGTCAACGGCATCGGCACCAAGATCGTCGAGAACTGCGTCTGTGTGCTGTCCTACAGGTACACTCTTATTACCACCTGCCTAAGGTTGAATGTCGCGTAGCAAACCGGTGTTGTTAAGGATCATTATCGAACGCGCTGTTGGACATTGCGCGTGGCCGTGCGCGTCAACGGCATCGGCACCAAGATCGTTGAGAACTGTGTCTGTGTGCTGCGCAACTTGTCCTACAGGTACACTCATATTACCACCTGCTTAAGGTTGAATATCATGAAGCAAACCGGTGCCGTTAAGGATCGCTATGGTTGGATGTTCCGGCTCGCATTTGGGTCCATTCTGTGACGCATGCCATAGGCTGTTTGTGTGAAAGACATCGGCAACAAGATCGTCGAGAACTGCGTCTGTGTGCTGCGCAACTTGTCCTACAGGTACACTCTTATTACCACCTTCCTAAGGTTGAATGTCGCACAGCAACCTTTCCTCATTTACGTCTCATCTAAGGTTGAATATCGTACATTAACCTCTCGGCATACTACTGGCACACATTATCAGATCATTTAGTCTCCACTGCACTCCACTGAACAGGATGTTGTCCTTTAATCGTCTCTTACGAGAGAAAGAAAGCTTATTCTACTCTGCAAGTACACCAAATTGTCATCACAAAACTAAAGCCTGGTCCGTGAGCACGTAGAATTTTGTCCAATGACCCCAAGCTACCCATCCTTATCGCGACTGTGCGACGGGCGCCCGCAGTGAGTGTGCGAGCGCGACAGCAACATAACTACGCGCGAGCGATAAGGATGGGTAGCTTGGGGTCATTGGACAAAATTCTACGTGCTCACGGACCAGGCTTTAGTCACTAAACCTTGTCAAAAATATAATGTTTGATAGCCCATTTAGTAATGAAATATGTTTATTCCAGATGTCAAGAAATTGAAGACCCATTGTATGACACGAGAGCACCACCAACGCAGTCGTCGGGACAGGCTAGGATACAAGCCAGCGCTTCCAAAGGTAATAATTAAAGTTTTGTACTGTATACTGATGCAATAAAGTTCACATTTCTGTCTACATTCTTCTTGTTTTGACACAAACTTCGTACTATTTTCTAGGCGAAAACCTAGGCTGTTTCGGCGGCAGTAAAAAGAAGAAGGAAGGCTCATCTTCGTCTAACTCCACCAGCCCGCTCGGCAAGAGCGAACCGGACACACAACCTCTTGGGGACACGTCATCTAATACGCAACTGGGGTACAGCGTGCCGAAAGGAACGGAGATGCTTTGGTCGCCGGAGGTAGGAGTTCATTTACCACTATTTTTTAAACGGAACGTATTACTTTTCGGGAGAAAGAAATTGAACTTTCGACTGAATAAACTGCTTATTCTAATATCCCTGTCGTGAACATCCATTCCACCTAAGAAATATTTGGGTAATATTTCATTGCTAATAATCGACTAGCTAGGATCAGACCAGTTTGGTTGTCACTGCTTCTCGCTTAATCCTGACTACACTGCAATGGTGGGGACTAGAAAGAATAGTCTGTTTTTACTGCCAACGAGTTTCCGATAAGTGCCTTTGCCTGTTCCCAGGCGGTGCCCTTGTAGATAGTGTTGCACCATTGTTTTTTATAGCCTGACCAGGAA